CATCATTCATCATCATCATCATCATCATCATCATCATCATCATCATCATCATCATCATCATCATCATCATCATCATCATCATCATCATCATCATCCCTCGCCGCATCCGGTTGCCTCCGTAGGGGCGGACCCAGGCGGGAGGAAAAGAAAATGGAGAGAAAGCGGAGGTGGGGGACGAACGGAAAGGAACAAGACAATGAGATGGAAGGGGTGAGGGTGGAAGACGAGCCCAACCAACCTCTTTCGAGGACGGCGAGAAGGTCTGGTTCAAAAAGGGTGATTTCGCCAGCTGCTGGGGTGCCTCAGGTCGTGCTGGAGTGCCTACGGTCGGGCTGGAGGGATCTCGAGTCCAGCGAAACCCACCGCGCCCAACGAACCCTTCTGGCAACCTCCGGCTCCAACCAGCCCCCAGCCACCCCCCCGCCAACCTCTCCTGAATTTCCCAGGTTTGACGCCCCGGGCGCCTTCCGAAGATGACGAGGGCGGGAGAGAACGGGGGAAAGGGGGAGCGGGGGAGGGGGAGGGACCCAATAGGAAGGCAGATGTGTCTGAACCGTTGCCTGGAGGCTCGGGCCCCTGATGCTGGAGGCTGGCCACCTAGACGCCAGCATGGTTCTGGTAAGATATGATGCCAATAAGTGGACACCACTACATAATGTAGTTAACTTGTGCGACGCCGGCGCGCGGAACTCTGATTCAGCAGTTGGGGCGTCGTCGATAGAACCGCGCACCGCGAGAACCCCACAGACGCACACAGAGAGGGAGGAAAGAGGACGAGAAGAACGATGAGTGAGTATAGGCTTGCGAATGAGGAGAACGAACAGGAGGTAGACGACGATAAAATAGCAAGCCGCTGGAGGAGGATGAAGAGGAGGAGGGCACTGGCAGTGCCTAGGACTTCGCGGAGAATCAAGACAAATATTCGACACGATCGCTTCCAGTGGAAAAGTTTCGTATACAGTTCGCGACGGTGCAAACTTCCCCTGCAATGATAACCCTGGTCACCCCCCCCCGCCAGCCCCAAATAACCCGATCAACCCTGCTGGCCAACGTCCTCCGGCCAACCCTGTTAAGGACAATTCTTCACATAAGATGAAACAGAAAAAGGGATGGAGGAAGAATAGGAAGTGGAGGAGGTGCGGGAGAATCGAGGGGGGAAAAGGAAGGAAGAGAAAGAGGAAGACGAAGAGGAGTCGGAGGAAAAGGATGGAGGAGAAGCGAGGAGGGAAAGGGAGGAGCAAGGAGTCGAGGGAATAGCAGGACAGGGAGAACAAGGGAGGAGGAGAGGATGAGACGCAGGGAGGAACGCAGTAAGATCCAGAAAAAGCACAGATATGGAGGACGGAGAGGAGGAGGAGGAGGAGAAGGAGGAGGAGGAGGACGACGATGACGAGAAGGAAGAGCAGAGGAAGTACGGGGTGAGACTGGAATGAGGCGAAGGAAGACTACCACGTCACTGTCCTCCTCCTGACCGCTCTCCTCCGCCTCCGCTTCACCCTGCAGTGTTTCCTCATCATTATCCTCTTGATCTTCCTTAACCTCATTATCCTCATCGTTGTCATCATCCTCACCGTCATCATCGCCATCATCAGCATCATCATCTTCACCGTCATCGTCATCTTCGTCAGCATCATCGTCATCATTACCACCTTCAAGATCGCCATCGCCAATTTCATCATCACCATCTCCATCACCATTGCCATCGTCATCAGCATCGTCATCATCATCCTCAGCATCACCGTCACCAACACAATCATCAGCTGCTTCACCATCACCGTCACCATCACTGACACCATCACCATCACTACCATCACCATCACCATCGCCGCCATCATCAGCATCATCGTCATCATCGTCCACCGGCCCTCGGCCTTTGCCTCTCGTCGTTGGCCTCCTCCTCCTCTCGCGAAGGGCTGGACGACAAAGGGAGGGGGCGAGGAGAGCAGCCTTCTCCAACTCCTCCTCCCTCCTCCGCCTCATCCTCCTCCTCATCCTCCTCCTCCTCCCTCCTCCTCCCCCTCCTCCTGCTCCTCCTCCTCCTCCTCCTCCTCCTCCTCCTCCTGCTCGTGCTCCTCTTCCTCCTCCCTCCACCTCCCCTCCTCCTCAATCTCCTCCTCCTCCTCCTCCTCCTCCTCCTCCTCCTCCTCCTCCTCCTCCTCCTCCTGGCTCAGGCGCGGGTCGGGGCGTGCTCGACCCGCCCCCGCCTGCTCCAGGAACCCCTTCGGCTGCGGCCGCTCGCTCATGGACTGCTGCTGCTGCCCGTAGGCGCGCGTCTCGTCGGCCTTGACGCCCTTGACCGAGATGCCGCGCCCTGAGCTCTGCATGGCCTCGCGGAAGGCCTCCTTGCGGCGGCAGCGTCTCACTGCACCGACCTTGCGGACGTGCTGCAGCGGATTTCTGGCGCGGATTTCTGTCAACGCAAGACCCCGAAACGGCGAGCGGAAAGCGGAGCGAGTTCCACGTGATTATTTGTTTTGTTAGCCACCATTCCTGGCCCAAAACATCCGCACGAAATTCACTTGGAAATCGGGAACGAACTTCTCCAGGACACTCCAGGCCCATCCTTCTGTTTTCCGAAAGAAATCCGCTCGGCGATGTTGGCGCCATGAGGCTTCGGTCGCAGACCTCCAGAGGCCCGATCGGTAATCCTCAGAGCGTGTGTTGGCGCCAACGCGTGTCTGTCCGCCGGAGCCCTTCGATACGACGTGGGCGAACGTTGCAGATGGGGGGGTGAGGACGTGGCTGACGCATGCAGTAAAAGAAGCGCCGGAGCGGATGCACGTGGAAGACTCCAGAGACCATACAGGGGCAACACACACACACAGGCACACACACACACACATAGGGCCATCACACGTTTTCCCTGGGGATCGCGGACAGGGGCTCGCTAAGATCGAGCCTTATTTCGGCTTCTGGACGCCAAGCCCCAGGGCCTGGGACCGTGAGGAAACAGATATGTAGACGCCTCCTAGGTAGGGTCCGAGTAGAGGGGGTCGGAGGATCAGAGCCGCATCGTCGATGCATCGGCTATGCGGCGCGATCCTTCGACCCCATTCACTCCGACCCCATCTAGGAAGCCTAGATGCAGAGGGCGAGAATAGAAGAAACAACTGCGTAAACATAAACGTTGACGGTCCGCGCGGATTTCGATCTGCGCTCGGAGCGCGCCAGGGACGGCGCTGGAGGCGCCGAAAGGGGGGCCCTGGCGCCGACCCGCGAAAACCCGGCGGAGCGTCGAACATGTATGTTTATAGCGCTGTCTCTTCTTCGAGAAACGGCCATCGACGGCGAGAAAAAGCCGGCCCCAGGGAAGGGAAGAGTACATGGGGTCGCAGTAGATGGGGCACGAGTAGATGGGGTCGGAGGATCGCACCGCATCGCCAATGCATCGGCGATGCATCGGCGACGTCGGCGATGCATCGGCGACCGTCGGCGTGGAGAACATCGGGCGCCGCATCGAGCAGCATCGTCGATGCAGATGCATCGGCGATGCGGCGCGATCAGTCGACCCCCTCTATCTGGAAGGCCTAGGTGTAGAGGGCTGGAAGAAGCTGGCCCCAGGGGAAGGGAAGGGCCGAAGGGTCCCGGTGGCCCCGAGGACAGCCAGCGGAGGAGCAGATAGGCCACCTCCGGCCCCTCTGCTGCGCGCCGCTCGGCCGCGTCCCCCGCCCCTAATTAGGAGGCACGGCCGCCTGCGCGGCCCACCCCACGGGGCTCGAAGACTCGTTTGCTGTCGGCCGGGGGGGGGCACCGCCAGAGGAAGCACCTGGACGGGAAGCGAAGCGACGCGAGGCGCCTCGCCAGGGGAAGCACCTGGACGGGGAGCGGAGCGAAGCGAGGCGCCTCGCCAGGGGAAGCACCTGGACGGGGAGCGGAGCGAAGCGAAGCGAAGACCCAGGAGTCGCGCGCGCTCCCTCGGGGAGCCCGCCGGTGCCCATCGGGGCATGGCGTGGAGGCGGGAGCCATCTGTGCCGACGAGCGGCTCCCCTGCGAGACACCGCCCCTCGGAACGAGAGGGGCCGCGAAGCCCGAGCCAGACCTGGGAGGGGCGATCGGGGCTCGGCGGGGCCTGTGCCTCGAGAGAGGGAGTCCACCACCAGACCTGGGGAACCCCTTCTGCAGCGAAGCCAGGAACGGGACAACAGCGGATCGGGGAAGTCTGGAGCAGCTGGGGTCCGGCGGCTCTGGAGGATGCCTCAGGCGCCGCGGCCGTTTCAGACCGCACAGGGGCGGTCTGAGAGCGTTCTCTGGCACGCGCTGGAACGATGTACACTGGGAGGAGGGGGAGGAGGAGGAGGAGGAGGAGGAGGAGGAGGAGGAGGAGGAGGAGGAAGATATTTTTTTTGGCCACCATGGGCCGAACCAGTACAACGGCATCTAAACCGACGCCGCTGGGACTGGGGACAGCGCAGGCCCGACCCTGGACCACACCCGAGGGCATTGTCTCGAGTCGAACCTGGCCTCGTCCCCTTAGTCACTATCATCTGAAAAGGGGCCCGACGACGAGAGGAGGGGATCCTCCACCTCCTGCTCCTTCCTCGGGCCCGCGGCGGCGGCGGCGGGTCCGCAGCTGGTCCTGCTGCGACCGCTCGCCGCCGACACGCGGGAACCTGGGCGCGGCGCGCCTGCGGAGGGCCTGCGCGACTCATCCCCCACCCCGCTGCCACCACCGCCCCCGCCCCCGACTCTAGCCCGAACACGGGCACTGACGGCAGCAAGAGACTGGAGCGGACGAGCAGCAGCTGGGATGGAGAGGGGGCGATTGGCGGCTATGTACTCCGCCACCACGGTTGGATTCGCCGCCTCGACCGCAGCACAAGACACCGCCAACGGCTTCTTGGGGTGGAGCCCACGCCTCAGCCTCCTGAGGGCCGTGGCGCCAGCACTGCTACGCTGCTCGTCCGCACGTGGCTTCACACACCGCTTAGCCAACATATGAATTCGATGCTGCGCGAAATATCCACACAGCATACAAAACAAAAGAGGGCTTTCCTGGTCCGCCACCTGGGCACTGGCCAGCTGGTGGCCGCGGTACGGGGAAGAGGTCAAGAGCTCCTGCACCAGACGCGGAAACCCCGAACATCCGACCTCGGGCCTGGAGTCCTCACTACCACTATAAAAACAAAGACAATTGCTGCACCTGTGGCCCCATAACCAGGGCCCCCAAGCATGCCAGCCGTCAGCTGATCTAAAAAGTGTGACGCACTTGTCTTGCTTCGGAGGCCTCTGGTGCTGGACCCTCGGAAACAGCGGCAAAATCTCCGCAGCGAGTCGTGCCACCGTTTCGAGATCTCTGATCGAGCTACTTACTGCATCCCACTCGGCCTGAGCTGGCTGAGGGTGTAACAAAATTGCTTGCTTAGCTTCTCTGTCCGCCCGCCAATTAGCTTGACCGATCCATCTTTCGGGGGCAGGGAGTGCTTCGATCTCACTGAGATCACGGTGTGCTGGAGTATACACTGCTGGCGCATATCTGTTAGCCTGCATATGCTGTAACGCTCCACGACGTAAGCCCGAATACTTATGCTTAGGATTAAGCTGCATATGTGGGGAACTGTTGTGCAACCGAACCGCATTCATACAATCACTGTAACACGCAGCACCGTACTGGGGTACGAAGATGGGGAGGAGGCTGAGCGCAAGTTGTTCTGCCGCCTGACTCGTCTGCGGCAGAGATGGCCACACCGTGCCCTTTGCTGTCGCCACCTGCTGTCCATCAGCCCCCAGGAATACCCAAGCATATGAGGCCCTCGAGAGCTCCTTTATCATGTGTGGGACGCACGAGCCATCGCCTGACACGCTCAGGCCCTCTGGGTTGAAGGCGCTCCAGTCCATGGGGGCGCCCTCAGCGTCGAACAAGGCAGGCGCATGCTCGTCGCTCGGCTGAGGCCACGAGGAAGACGGGTGCCGAAACTTGAGTCCTGCGAAGAACTCCTGAGCACCTTCCTGTGCCTGCTGGAAGAAAAAGTCAGTGGTCTGTACGGCCTCACGGGCATTCTTAATCTCGGTCGACCCCTCACACTTGTACAAACGGTGATGGATGGAGTCAGGTTGGTTGCAAACGGGGCACAAGCCCCGCGACAGGTACCCCGCACGGACAGCGCGATCTTCACACCAAATCCCGTCGCAAAACATGGCTCTCACCATATACTTGCCCTGGGCACTCAACCCCAAACCCTTGCCACTAGCCTTGGTAATTCTACGTATGGGGTCAACACAAACTCGCTCCCCTTCGCCCCAACCGAGACTGCTCCCCAGGACCCTCTCGTGATGCCTTTGGACACCTTCTTTAAGCAGGGCGTTAAGCATAGCAGGGGAGTTGTAGAAGAGCGACAGCTCATTCCCTCGGTCGTCAGTCCAGATAAAGGGGCCATCGCTTTTCCAACCGATTCTATCCAGGGACAGCCACGCTCTAGATATGGGGCCTTTAGTTTTTCCCCACAAGGGTCCTTCCTTGGGCACCGCCAACCACATGCGCCGAAGGTCGGGCAGCGTGAAGTGCGCGAGGCCAGGCTTAGTGGACGTGTGCCAAACGGCGCTGGCCCAAGCTAAGGCAGGGGCAACCATACTACGCCAGACTGGGTCGCCGTGCAGCACCGTCTTGGCCTTGACCGAAACTCCCGCATGAGCGGGCGGCTGGAAGGAAAGCATTATCGAACGAATCTTTTAAGCTCGGCATCCGTGGCTCCAATGACCGTGTCCCCGAAAGAAACGGCAGGCCGAGCCCCCGCCGTGTAGATTTTCCCAGTCCGACCCCTGTCCCTTGGGAGGCTCTTTCTGAGACGCTTGAGCTTGCGATGCCTTCTAATCATGTCAGCAATCCTGGCCCTACGCTTAACACGCACCTTGTTTTTTCCACGCTCGACCCCAGGCGCCAGATCAACCCCCAAAGACACAACATGGGAGCCCACCGTTCCAGCCAGCGTTCCAATCCTGCGTCCAAGCCGTAGCGACAGGGAAGGGGTGGAGGCGAAGGTGAAAAGCTTGTCGGTCGCAAGGCCGACTCCCAAATCACGTTTGAAGACCTCATGCAGGTCCCCCGCGGCTTTTCCCAAGGCCTCAACAACATGATCTGGGCTGCCGTACGCACTGACCGTGTCATCGTCAATGTACGAGGCCAGTGCCACGTCACGGTTGCGCTCCAGAAACTTATCGAAAGGAGCCATCGCATAGACCTTGACACATATGTCATTGAGACAGGACCCCGCTGGCAACCCAGACGTCCCAAAGAGAGGCACCAGACTATGATCCGTGCCAAGCCGCAGGATCCTAGGCCCGCGCCAAAAATTGAAGGCGACCTTCACCATGACAGCTGGCAGCCCCGCAGCCAAGGATCGATCGC